AAAAAAAAAAAAAAAAACCTGGGTGTTGTAGCATTTGCCTGTAGTCCCAGCCTGGGCAGCAGAGTAAGACCCTCTCTCAAAAAAAAAAAAAAGTGTGAATTCTATGACATATAAATTATATCTCAATTTTTTAACTTTTTGGGTTTTTTTTCTTAAACAGGCCAAGAGCCATCATTGCAAGCCCTGGGTTAATGACAGGAGCCCCAAGAAGGATGGTGCCATGGGGATTCCACAGCCTTGGAGGTCATGCTCACGCTAAGGGGCTTGGACTTGGTCCTTTGGGCAATGGTGAGGGGACATCAAACCTCTAAGCATGGAAAAAAAAAAGATACATTTCCAGTAAAATTTTAATTGTTTATGTTAAAAAGAATTTAGAATAAAGAGTACTCTCTGTTTTATGATTTAAAAAAAGGTCTCACCATGGAAGAAACATCATCACAAATGCTCTTATGGAAGGCTGGAGGCAGGAAGAACAGCCAGGTGGCTGTCGTAACATCACAGGAGGGGTGACATCACACCAGCGGAGGGAGGGACAGGGCAAGGTCTGGTGCTGTTCAGGTGGAAGAATCAGTCGACTTGGTGAGTCACTAGTCGAGAGTGTAAGGGAAAGAGAGAAGGCCCAGATGGTTTCTAGGTGAGCGACCGGGTGCACACTGATGCCTGGGCCCAGGGACCCGAGGGGCAGGCTTCTGCCTAGGACAAGAAGGATAATGACAGCGCGTCTTCTACAGAGCAACTCTGAGGCTCCGAGGGACGTGCATTCCCTCGCCATTACCAGGCATTGGGGAGCTAGGTAGGCAGAGGAGTCCAGGAGAGGAGAGAGACCGGGTCTAGAGATACAGATCTGAGAACAATCAGTGTGTAGGTCAAGCAGAACCATGAGACCACCCAGGGAGAGCAGAAACAGCGAACTGCAGAGGGCTAGAGGGGGCACCCTGGGAAGACCCACCTTTAAGGGGCAAGGAAAGGGAAAAGGAGAAATGGGGGCAGGAGAAAGTGGCAATGGTCGCAGAGCCAGAAGGGAACCCAGGGGAAAGAGGGCTCGAGGAGGGGAGCGTCAGATATCACAGGGACGTCAGGCAGGAGGGGTCCAAGAAGGAGCCATGGGCTTTAGAGATGAGAGGCCACCCCCAAACCTGAGTCTCCCACCACGGGGCCTGAGAAGTGAACGGGAGGTGGAGGCAGAGCCCAGCAGTGGCAGATGCTGCTTTCAAGCCACTGAGCAGCAGGGGGAAGGAGAAGCCGGCAGGTGACGCAAGCTGAAGCAGGGTGGTGGGATGGAGGATGGGCACCATCCTTGTTAGGATAGAAGACGTCACCAGCTGTTCGTAAGCTGAGGCGGAAACACTGATAAGGATGATCAAATGGAAGCAACTCCATCTTTCAAACGAGGAGAAGGAATCAAAGGCGAGAGGCGTAGCCTGGGCGCGGAAGCTCATGCCTGTAATCCCAACAGTTTGGGAGGCCAAGGTGGATAGATCACCTAAAGTCAGGAGTTCGAGACCAGCCTGGCCAACATGGTGAAAACCCATCTCTACTAAAAATACAAAAATTAGTGGCCATGGTGGCGGGTGCCTGTAACCCCAGCTACTCAGGAGGCCGAGGCAGGAGAATCGCTTGAACCTGGGATGTGGAGGTTGCAGTGAGCTGAGATTGCACTATTGCACTCCGGTCTGGGTAACAAGAGCAAAACTCAGTCTCAAAAAGAAAAAAAAAGCAAGAAGTGTAGAGCATTGCGCCAGGTCTGGCGAAGAAGGAAGGGCACGTGGGTCTGGCTGTTCCAAAGTGCCTGCTTCTTTCTCTTGCCTGTGGAGAGAAAACACAGGCCCAGAAGAAGCAGGAGGGGAGGGTCATAGAACTAATGGCCAGTATTATGGGGGGCTTCCCCTCAGATGGCGGTATAAGTGCCTCCACCTTGGATTCAAGTTCAAAGGGTTGGAGTGTGTGATTACACACCTACCTCTGTATCAGTTGTGAATTTAAAAGAATCACCAGCTTGGATGTGGTGCCAGTCTTTGGGGTGCCAGCCTAGCCAGGTGCAGCTCCCAGTTTTTAATCACACATGAATCAATCATTGCTTTGAAGTATTTGGTGGAGGTAGGTCACAGCTACAACCAATTAGTTTGAAACAGCGGAGATTACCCTGAATAATGTGGGGGGGCCTGGTGCAATGAGTTGGGAGGTCTTAAGAGCAAAAACGGCCTCTAGATTTTAGCATCTGTGATCACCATGGGCCAGGACAGCGGGAGAAAAGTAGGGAGCTCGTGTTTATTGGGTACAGAGTTTTAGTTGGGGAAGATGAAAAGGCTCTGAAGATGGATGATCAAACGGAAGCAACCCCATCACCTTGGTCAGTCCTCCAAGACGCCAAATCCACCTCCCCAAATCCAGATTCCACTTGGGATAAGGAAAGAAGGAGCAGGTGATGATTGAGAACAACGTGAAGGTTCTTAATGCCGCCAAACATTAGATTTTAAATGATGAAAACGGTAAATTTTACATGATGTATATTTTATCACTGCTGTGGTCAGAATGTTGATGTGCCCTGCAAAACTATTCTGTTGAAATTCTAACCCCCAAGGGGATGGTTTTATGAGGTGGGGCCTTTGGGGGGGATTACATCATGAGGGTACAGCCCTCATGAACGGATTAGCGGTCTTATCAAAGAGACCCAGGGAGGCGCATTGGCCCTCCTACCATATGAGGATGCAGTGAGAAGGTGCCACCATGAGCCAGAACGTGGGCCCTCCCCACGTCTGCCTTCTCCTTGGACTTCTCAGTCTCCAAAACTGAAAGAAATAAATTTCCATTGTTTATAAGCCTCCCAGTTTATGGTATTTTGTTATAACAGCCTGGATGGACTAAGTCCACTGTTAAAAACTCCAAACAAATGGGACAGGCACATTGGCTCATGCCTGTAGTCCCTGCACTTTGGGAGGCCGAGGAGGGACAGTCACTTGAGCTCAGAAATCTGAGACCAGCTTGGGCAATATGGTGAAAGTCTGTCTCTACGAAAAATACAAAGAAATTTGCCAAGCATGGTGGCTCTCGCCTGTAACCCAGCTACTCAGGAGGCTGAGGTGGGAGAATCACCTGAGGCCAGGAAGTCAAGGCTGCAGTGAGCTGTGACTGTGCCCACTGCACTCTAGCCTGGGCAACAGGAGCAAGACCCAGTCTCCAAAAAAAAAAAAAAAAACAAAAAAAAAACCCAAACCAAAACAAAAAACCTGCAGCATCAGGAAATTCTTACCTGAGTTTCCAGCCTGCTGGCCTGTCCCACAGTTTCAGACCACACAGTCCCTACAATCACATGAGCCCATTCCTCAAAGGACGTCTCTTAATAAACAGAGCCTGTTGGTTCTGTTTCTCTGGAGAACCCTGGCTGACACAGTCATGTTGTCTATTTCTTTTCTTTTTCTTTTTTTGAGACAGAGTTTCACTCTTGTTGCCCAGGCTGGAGTGCAATGGTGTGATCTCTGCTCACTGCAACTTCCACCTCCCGGATTCAAGTGATTCTCCTCCCTTAGCCTCCCAAGTAGCTGGGATTACAGGTACCTGCCACCACGCCCAGCTAATTTTTGTATTTTTAGTAGAGACAGGGTTTCTTCATGTTGGTCAGGCTGGTCTTGAACTCCTGACCTCAGGTGATCCACCCGTCTCAGCCCCCCAAGATGCTGGGATTACAGGCATGAGCCACTGCGCCTGGCATCTATTTCTTTACAATTGGACTCATGACTCTGTTGCCATTACCCTTTGGTAACAGAAAACCTCATGTAATCAACATCGGTTGGACAACTGGTTTACATTCCACGAACATGATGAAGAACCAGGCAGTCTGCTCGGCTGCTGCAGGCTGGGTCTCATGAAGAGTGTCGTGGTGAGAACTCATAGGTCCCAAGGTCTGGTCAATGTACATTCAGAAACTTTTCTTCTTCTCCTCCTTCTCCTTCTTTCTTCTTCTTTTTTTTTTTTTTTTTTTTAGATATGGGGTTTCACTATGTTGCCCAGGCTGGTTTGAACTCCTGGCCTCAAGTGATCCTCCTGCCTCAGCCTTCCAAAGTGCTGGGATTACAGGCATGAGCCACCACACCCAGCCCAGAGCTTCTTCCTAGATGGATTCATATTACTATAATTCACATAAAACAAGATTATTAAAACAGAAAAAATATAAGAATGCAATTTCCAAGTGAACTGATTTTTATTTATTTATTTATTTTTTTTTGAAATAGAGTTTCACTCTGTTCCCCAGGCTGGAGTGCAGTGGCACGTTCTCATCTCATCACAACCCCCACCTCCTGGGTTCAAGCAATTCTCCTGCCTCAGCCTCCTGAGCAGCTGGGATTACAGGAGCCTGCCACCACGCACGGCAAATTTTTGTATTTTTAGTAGAGACAGGGTTTTGCCGTGTTGGCCAGACTGGTCTTAAACTCCTGGCCTCAAGTGATCCACCCACCTCAGCCTCCCAAAGTGCTGGGATTACAGGCATGAGCCACTGTGTCTGGCCAAGAATTTGTGTCAACCAATCAACACCTTTCCAATAAATTGGGGATTCCTAACTCAGTATCCCAACCAGAAGCTGCCCAGTTAATCTGAGAGCAGCATAGGACCAGTAGAAAGGCATCCTGGAGCCAGGAGAACAGAGGGAAGCCCCCTCCACTAGACGGAAACCTACCTCCAGACAAGAGTCCACCATTATTCAACCCCCAGTGTTTAAAACAAAATATGTCTACATCATCTGTGGTGGTTGGAAAGCCTGGGCATGAAGGATCAGGGCTGGGGGAAACTGATGCAGTAAGGCAAACCAAAAGAAAGGCAAGGAGAGGTGGCCACTCTGAAGGCAGCAGGGATGCAGGTAGGAGTGACCAAGAAAATTAGCCATGGTGGCGCACACCTGTGGTCCCAGCTACTGGGGATGCTGAGGTGAGAGGATGGTCGGAGACCAGGAGGTTGAGGCTGCAGTGTGCTATGATTGCACCACGGCCCTCCAGCCTGGGCAACAGAACGAGACCCTGTTGCCCAGGCCAGAGACAAAAGCCAAAAAACAGTGACCAAAAAGAGGAGCACCCCACCGCTCCTTTTCCCTTGGAGAAGGAAATTGCATTGCTCTGCTGTGGGCCGGCTCCTCCCCTCCTTCACCTCCAAACCACATTCCGAGAGAGCCGGGACTGAAACCAATTGTTCCAGCCTGGGATTGGGCAAACGTGGGCCCGGTACCTTCAGCTCCGGTTCTTCAGGGATTTCCAGGAACCACAAGGCAGACGTAGAGTGGAACACAAAAGAAACTACTCATGAGTTAATTATGTGTGAATCTCATTGCAAAATCCACATTGTCTTAAACATTTTTAAACTTTCCGAACATAGTAAATTCCA